ACGGATGCAGAGAGAGTGCGTAGATTTGTTGCGGGGTTGCACTCCGGTATCAGGGCCAACATGGCCCGAGAGGTTGAGATGGGGACTTCTTATCAGCTGGTAGTGGATATTGCTCAAAGGATTGAGGGCTACCGTTAGAGGGGTAGAGAGCAGATGCAGCAGGTCACAACTCTTTTGAGAGGGCCCGTTTCTCTTGAGAGTTCAGAGGTGCCCCGGCTAGGGGTGAAGGTCAGTTTGGGAGGGGTCAGCCTAGCAGGCCCCCATATTCAGCACCACCACCTCCTCGAGATGCTCCAGCGTGCCCCTATTTCAGCGCCATACCAGAGAGTTCTTACCGCCCACCAGCCATCTAACGTTCTTCCAGCGGGTACTCAGGTCCCCAGGGTTCTTCCAGCTCCTATTTTAGTGTTATACCGGAAAGCTCATACCACCCACCGGCTATTCAGGCTTCTTCCAGTGGGTGTACAAACCATTAGGGTCAGACATTAGGGCAGCAGGTCACCGCATCGAGGGGCTATTTAGAGTGCGGAGATCTCGATCATATGAGGAGATACTGCCCCAAACTTCGGGTCAAGGCAGTGCAACAGGGTCAACGGCCCATGATTTCAACACCGACTGCTCGGCCACCCAGAGGCAAAGGGCAGACTGGTAGGGGCCGTCCTAGAGGTGGAGGCCAGGCATGGGGAGGTCAGCCAGCTACTGTTGAGTCAGGTGGAGGCTAGCCAGTCGACGCTCCAGCCAGATCCTATGCTTTTCCGGCCACACCAGATGCATTGGCCTCAGATGCCGTTATCATAGGTATTATTTCCGTCTGAGTACTATTTGATCCAGGGTCTACCTATTCATATGAATCATCTCTGTTTGCTCATTTCTTGGATATTCCCCATGAGTCTTTGGGTACCCCTATTTATGTGTCCACTCCTGTGAGCGATTATGTGGTTGTGGATCGGATCTATCGGTCCTGTGTGGTCACATTCTGTGGTTTCGAGACTAGAACGGATCTCCTATTACTTGATATGACCGACTTTGAGGTCATCCTAGACATGGACTAGTTATCCTCATATCACGCAATCCTAGATTGCCATGCCATGACTGTTACTTTAGCGATGCCAGAGTTGCTGAGGTTGGAGTGGAAGGGTTCCTCAGTTAGTACATCTAGTCGAGTTATTTCTTTTCTGAAGGCTCAACATATGGTCGAGAAGGGTTGTTTGGCTTATCTAGCTCATGTTCGGGACACCACCGTAGAGTCTCCGACGATTGATTCAGTTCCAGTAGTCCGAGAGTTCGCGGATGTGTTTCCTTCTGACCTTCCAGGCATGCCACCTGATCGTGATATTGACTTCTGTATTGATTTGGCTCCAGGTACCCAGCCTATATCTATTTCACCGTATCGTATGGCTTCGAAAGAGTTGAAGGAATTGAAGGAGCAGCTTGAGGAGTTATTAGCAAAGGGGTTTGTGAGACCGAGTGTGTCACCTTGGGGTGCACCAGTGTTGTTTGTGAAGAAGGAGGATGGGGCTATGCGGATGTGCATTGATTACCGCTAGTTGAACAAGGTTACCATCAAGAACAAGTACCCGTTGCCACACATTGATGATTTGTTTGACCAGTTTCAGGGTGCTAGGGTGTTCTCTAAGATCGACCTGAGATCGGGGTATCATCACCTAAAGATTCGGGACTCAGATGTCCCGAAGATTGCTTTCCGTACTAGATATGGCCATTATGAGTTTTTGGTAATGTCTTTCGGCTTGACTAATGCCCCAGCGGCGTTTATGGATTTGATGAATAGGGTGTTCAGGCCTTATATTGATTCCTTCGTTATTGTCTTCATTGATGGCATCTTGATCTACTCACGTAGCCCAGGGGAGCACGAGAAGCATTTGAGAGTAGTGCTTCACACATTGCGAGAGCAGAAGCTATATGCTAAGTTCTCGAAGTGTGAGTTTTGACTTGAGTCAGTAGCATTCTTGGGGCATGTTGTATCAGGAGAGGGTATTAAGGTGGATCCCAAGAAGATTGAGGCAGTTCAGAGTTGGCCACGTCCAACTTCAGTGACTGAGATCAGGAGTTTCCTAAGGCCAAGTTTGATTACAACAAGAGTTATCAGTCCAACATCGAGATGGATCCATTTGAGGCTTTATATGGTCGGCGATGTCGTTCTCCTATCGGGTGGTTTGAGCCTGGTGAGGCTATGTTATACGGTACAGATTTTGGTGAAAGATTCTTGGAAAAGGTAAAGTTGATCCACGAGCGACTTCGCACAGCACATTCCAGATAGAAAAGTTACACGGATCAGAAGGCACGGGATGTATCATTCATGGTCGGCGAGAAGGTTCTCTTGAAAGTCTCGCCGGTGAAGGGTATTATGAGATACGAAAATAAGGGCAAGTTGAGCCCCAGGTTTATAGGCCCATTTGAGGTGTTGAGGCGAGTTGGGGAGGTTCCTTATGAGCTTGCTTTACCCCCCAGCCTATCGGGAGTTCATTTGGTTTTTCACGTGTCTATGCTCCGGAGGTACCACGCCAACTTGTCACATGTGTTAGACTTCAGCACTATTCAACTAGATGAGAGCTTGGGTTATGAGGAGGAGCCAATCGCTATTATCGATAGACGTGATCGCCAGTTGAGATCCAAGAGGATTTCTGCGGTAAAGGTTTAGTGGAGGGGCCAACCAGTCGGGGAGGCAACCTGGGAGTCCGAGGAGGACATGCAGAACAGATATCCACACTTATTTAGCAATTCAGGTATGAATCTAAACCTGTTCGAGGACGAACGTTTGTTTAAGAGGTGGAGAATGTAACGACATGACTAGTCGTTTTGCTTTCTAGAACCCCGTTCCCCTAAATAAGACATCCCGTACTTGATTTTACTGATTTATGACTTGCGGGGATGGTTAGTTCGGGATTTGGAAGAGTTTGGGTTGAAATCGGAACACTTGGTTCCTTAAGGTTGGCTTAAAAGGCCAAGTTTGACTTCGATCAACATTTTTAGTAAACGACCTCGGAATCAGGATTTGAAGGTTCTAACAGGTTCATATGATGATTTCGGACTTGAGCGTATGTCCGGATCGGGTTTTGGATGACCCAGGAACGTTTTGGCGCCTACTAGTGAAAGTTGAATCTTTAAGGATTTCAAGGTTCTTTAAATTTTGGTTTTGAGCGGGTTTTTGTGATATCGAGGTCGGAACGGAATTCCGAGATCGGGAATAGTTCCATAATGTCATTTAAGACTTGCACGCAAAATTTGGTATCATTTCGAGTAGTATAAGTATGTTTCGGCACGATGGAAGTAGATTGAAGAACTTAAAGTTCATAAGTTTGATTCAATTGGTTTTAGGGTGTGATTTTTAGTTTTAATGTTGTTTTGGGCGTTCCGAGGGTTCGAGCGAGTCCATTTTATGATTTCAAACATGTCGGTATGTTTGCGCGGGGCCCCGGGGGCCCCGAGCGTCAAACGGTCGAGGCTCGAACTAAGCTAAAAATTTGAGAAGGAGCTGAAGCTCCAGTTGCTGTCATAACCGCACCTGCGGTTGGCCAGCCGCAGGTGTGAGCTCGCAGGTGTGGTGGAAGCATCGCAGATGCAGCCCAAGGAGGGGAGCCCAAGTTCCGCAAATGCGGCTCCTCTCCCGTAGAAGCGAAACCGCAGGAGCGGTCATCAGTCCGCAGATGCGGCCCCAGCTGGCCCGGCCAATTATCACAGAAGCGGACAATAGTCCGTTGAAGCGAGACCGGGTGTGGAAATCGCTGAAAGCAGTGGCCTTCATTAATACGGGAGTTTGTCATTTTTGAAATATTTCACCCCATTATTGGGCGATTTGGGAGCTTCAAAAGGGGAGATTTCAACCTAGCTTTGTGAGGTAAGTAATTACTACTTAACGTGAGTTTAATACTTAGTTTATGGGTAGATTACAACATGTAAATTAGTGGAAATTATGGGTTTAGAGTAACACCTAGAGTTTTGATAAAAATAAGATTTAACCACGAAATTTGTTATGAAATGTAGTAGAAATCATATATTCTTGATCCTAAGGTTATGGGTAACAACTTTCTTCGAAAATTTCCGGGATCCGAGCACGTGGGTCCGGGGATGAATTTTAGGAACCTTGCATTTAGAATTGGGAAATTACTTTGATAGTTAGAATATGAACTCTTGAGCATATATTTACTAGTTCTTACCCCATTTGAATAGTTTTAGATCGTTTGGCTCCAATTTGAGGGTTTGAGCGCATTCTTGAGTTTGGAAGTAAGATTTGGGGCAAGGTAAGTCTCTTTTCTAACCTTGTAAGAGAGAATTAACCCCATAGGTGAATTAAATAATGTAAGTACCTATCTGTGGGGGCTACGTGACGAGAGTCCCTACGTAGCTACTATTATGCTAATTGTCCGGGTAGTTTAGGACCCGTATCATGCTATACTTGCGATGCTTGCGTTCTACTTGTTACTATAATCACTTAAGTCACGCTGGAAATTGGTTAAACAAATATAGATGGTTATACTCACTTACTTAAGAAATTGTATGAATTACTAGACTGTAAATGGGCAATGTGTGCTTTCTTGAAAATAAATTATTATTTGTAGATCAGCCCGTGCGCCTCGGTAGTAAATAGATGCATCTATGGTTCGCGCCATTCTACCCTCTGGTACTGCACAGTTTAAATTTATATTGGACTGGGCCGTACGACCTCGGCATAACCTGCGCAGGTTATTTATTTGGAACTTCCCGTGATTTATACTGCTTAAATTCTTTGAAGCGTAAATTGTTACATGATATGACTGAAATTGACTTGTTGTTTATGAAAGAATGTCTTATTTGTCCTAGTCTTAAACTGTCATTATTATTCACGTTGTTCATGCTTAGTGTAACTCTCAAATTATATTATTATTGGCCCTAGTGAGTATCAAGTCGACCGCTCGTCACTACTTCTTCGAGGTTAAACTGGATACTTACTGGGTAAATATTGTTTATGTACTCATACTATGCTTCTGTACTTAATTGTACAGGATCTGAGGCAGGTGCATCTAGCTACCCGTCTGCCGCACATTCCTTATATTTGAGCGAGATTTCACAGTGAGCTGCCCCCTTCTGAGCCGTTCAGCAGCATGCTGGAGTCTCTCCTTTTGTTATTACTGTCTATTCTATTTCAGGCAGTAGGATATTTATATTTTTGTACATTCTACTAGTTTTCCTCGTACTTGTGACACTAGATCCTGGCACACGCATTAGTAGACTATCATCATTGGGTTGTATTCCTAAAATTATGATTTCCTTTAGTCATTCCCGTTCAGTTGCTTTATAAATTTGGTATTTATCGGATGTTTTAATTAAAACTAAGAAAATGTTGGGATTGCTTAATAAAATAAATAAGAACTCACTAGTCGATTAGTGTTGACTTGCCTAACAACGGTGTTGGGAACCATCACGACGTATAATGGAATTTGGGTCATGACACTATCAGAAAGTAGTTGTATTTTTTCGACGACAAAATGACAATTCTTGAAGGCTGAATCAGTTGTTAGAAAATGTATACAGGTTCTGAGTTCTTCATCTGAAGTTACAAAGCATCCCTTTGCTTGTTTTAATTTGATATCCAACCATATTTTTAGTACATATTTGGTTGAATCAAAATCTGTGACTTCACTAATTTTCTTCAGGAAAGTATTGAATGATACTTGTTTATTAACCAGAACAAGTTTTGTATCATGATCCAAGTAGCTGTTTCTAAAAGTCCACCTCCCATTTAAAGTAATAACAAAGCGAATCGCACTCATCCTGCAGTATGGAAACTTTAGCATGTTTAGTGTGAAGTGTTAGGAAATGAACAAAAAAACTTTAGCATGTGCATGTATAATGTTAAACAAAAATTCATTAGAAAATTACATACCGCAGGACAAAACTAAAGCATGTTTAGTCTGAAGTTTTAGCGAATGAACTAAAAAACTTCAGCTTGTTCAGACTGAAGTTTCAGATAAAACGCATGACAAAACTATAGACTACCGGACAAAACTTCAACATGTTTTGGTATGAAGTTTTAGCAAATGAACTAAATAACTTCAGCATGCATTAGCAAAAACTCATTAGAAAATTACATTCTGCAAGACAAAAACTTAAGCATGTTTAGTTTGAAGTTTAAACAAATGAACTAAAAAACTTCAGCATGTTTAGACTGATGTTTCGAAAAAAACTCATGACAAAACTGTAGACTGCATTACTGTCACGACCCCAAACCGGACCCGGTCGTGATGGCGCCTCTCGTGAAGACAAGGCCAGCCGACACAATTCCCCAAGTCAACCATTTTCCATTAAAAGTTATTTTTATACCATGTATAAACCGTTAATCTCATAATGAACATTTAAAAGAAAAATGCGGAATACTTACACAAGCCCGACATCGGGGTGTCACTAGTCATGAGCATCTACCAAGGTCTGAATACAACAAAAACAGTAAAATGTACTAAGTACAGAAATGAAAATGAGAGGAAGGAAGCGGTGCTGCGAACGTCGTGCAGCCACCATGCTAACTCTGATGACTCCGCGTTTGAGAAACCAACACCCGCTACCGGGTTCCGAAATACCTGAATCTGCACACGAGGTGCAGGGAGTAATGTGAGTACTCCAACCCAGTAAGTAATAAGAGTAAATAAAGACTGAGCAGTAGGAAACAATGAATCCACATTTATGTTAAACTCAATAAGCACAAAGGCTGCTAAATCAGAATACGAGTCAATCACCTCTTTTAAAATCCAGCTTTTGGTAAAAATCATTTTAAATGCCTTCCGACAGATTCAATAGGGGTTCAATACCATTTTGAATAAAAGAGCTGAAAACCATAATCGGCCCCTCGGGCAAAATATAGTTCATAAATAGCCCCTCGGGCAAAACAGGAGTCATAAACACCTCCTAACAAGAAAATCTCAGTGGAAATATCAAAAGCCAAATCAGTGATTAAGTTCTGAACATCTCATAAACCCCAGCTTAAATAAAAGTTGTTTAAAAACATTTATCTAACATTTTCGACAGAGGCTCAGTATAAAGATGAGTGAAAATAGTCATTAAATCAACATATTCAATAGAAACTCACTCTAAAGAGAAGTGAAAATCAATAAGTTCATAATCAGGCCCCTCAGGCAAACATCACTCATGTGCATGTATATATCTATCGCCCCTCGGGCTAGCCTCTCAGTCACTCGTGACTCAACTCCTACCATTCAGCGCTCACACTCAGCACTCACGCTCAATAGGTATCATATAGTAACCGCTGCGGCGTGCAACCCGATCCATCTATATAGTCGACTACGCTCACTGGGGGTGTGCAGACTCCGGAGGGGCTCCTACAGCCCAAGCGCTATATCGCTGCAGCGTGCAACCCGATCCAACATATCGCTACAGCGTGCAGCCCGATCCATATACATATATATAATTATATTGCTGCGGCGTGCAGCCCGATCCATAGATATATAATCCTCATAACCAGGCCCTTGGCCTCTCTCAGTCTTTAACCTCACAATCAGACTCTCGGTCTATCTCAGTTATCAACCTCACAATCAGACCCTCTGTTTATCTCAGTTTTCAACCCACGATCACTCGGACCATCAGTAAAACAGGGGACTCAGCCCAAACAGTTTTCACATTTTTAAGAAATATAGTGATAAATCCAGATTAAAACAATAACCAGGTAAAACATGACTGAGGATATGCTTTCAAAACAAATAGAGTGAGGAAAATTAGTGAAAGTTCCCTTAATGGTCTCAACAGGTCGGCACAAGGCCCCAAACATGGCATACAACCCAAACTATAATATCAATCTCTAGAACATGGAATATCAGAAGGTTTCAAATCAAATATGCGACTTAACAATCGTACGGGACGGACCAAGTCACAATCCCCAACGGTGCACAACTCCACACTCGTCATCTAGCGTGTGCGTCACCTCAAAATAACACAACGATGTGTAATCCGGGGTTTCAAACCCTCAGGACAGTATTTACAATCATTACTTACCTCGATCCGGTCCAAACTCTAGCCTGCGATGCCTCGCCTGCACGAATCGACCTCCGGATGCTCCAAATCTAGCCACAATCAGTACATAATCATTAAAATATGGTAAGGGAACAAAGCCCACTCGAAATATCCAATTTACATCAATAATCCCTAAATTGCTCAAACCCGACCCCCGGGCCCACGTCTGGAAATTCAATAATTTTCACATCAACGGATTCCTTATCTCCCCACGAGTTCATACATACCAAGAACATCAAAATCCATCCACAAATGACCCCCTCAAATCCCCATTTAGAGGCCTCTTAAACTCAAGCCCTAATCCTCCATTTTTGGCCCTTTAATCCTTTAATTACAGTCTTAATCCATAAAATACTACCATAGAAATGTGTTTTAGGTCCGAAATCCTTACCTTAACGAAGTCTCTTGATTTCTCTCTTCAGAATCGCCCAAAAAGCTCCAAGGTCGAAGTTAAAATGGTGAAATAACCCAAACTCGCGAAATGAAATAACATATATGCTCTGCCCAGGCCTTTCCGCATTTGCGGTCTAAACCTCCGCTTCTGCGGAAAAATCACTTAAGGGACCAAACCGCTTCTACGACTAAACTCTCGCATCTGCGACATCGCAGATGCGGTCCCCCTACCGCTTCTGCGCTCTCTGCCCATCTCACCCCTTTTCGCTTCTGCGACCAAATATCCGCTTAGGCGGCGCCGCACATGCGGTCCCCAAGCCGCAGGTGCAAAAATACCAATAAAGAAGCCAGCCAATATCAGCTGCTGCCACAAAATTCCAACCTCTCCGCTGACCACCCGAAATCACCCCGAGGCCCCCGGGACCTCAACCAAAAGCACAAACATATCCCATTACCTTATTCAAATTTGTTCCAATCATCAAAACACTTCAAACAACACTAAATCAACCAAAACACCTCGGATTCAAGCCTTAGTTTCTAAAATCTTCCGAATTCCACTTTTGATCAAAAACCCAACCAAAACACGTCCGAATAACCTGAAATTTTACACACACGTCCCAAATGACACAACGAAGCTACTTCCACTCTCGGAATTTCATTTCGACCCTCATATCAAAATCTCGTCTACCAACTGGAAATCGCCAAAATCTCAATTTCGCCAATTCAAGCCTAAACCTTCCACGGACTTCTAAAATGCATTCCGATCATGCTCCTAAGTCCAAATCACCTAACGGAGCTAACCAAATCATAAAAATTCCAATCCGAGATCGTATACAAGCAAGCCAAATATTGGTCAAACCTTTCAAATTTCAAGCTTCAAACTGAGAACTGTTCTTCCAAATTCATTCCGATTACCCTGAAAACCAAATCCAACGGTTTACATAAGTCATAATATACTACACGGGGCAAGTCATGCCCGAGAACTGGGGAGCAAAGTGCAAAAATTCAAAACGACCGGTCGGGTCGTTACAATTACAAAACATCATCATGTTTTGGTATGAAGTTTTAGCAAATGAACTAAATAACTTCAACATGCATTAATCGTATACTATAATATACCAGAAGCAGCAATATCAGCCGCTGCCACAAAATTCCAACCTCTCCGTTAACCACCCGAAATCACCCCGAGGCCCCCGGGACCTCAACCAAAAGCAAAAACATATCCCAATACCTTATTCAAATTTGTTCCAATCATCAAAACACTTCAAACAACACTAAATCAACCAAAACACCTCGGATTCAAGCCTTAGTTTCTAAAATCTTCCGAATTCCGCTTTTGATCAAAAACCCAACCAAAACACGTCCGAATAACCTGAAATTTTGCACACACATCCCAAATGACACAACGGAGCTACTGCCACTCTCGGAATTCCATTTCGACCCTCATATCAAAATCTCGTCTACCAACCGGAAATCGCCAAAATCTCAATTTCGCCAATTCAAGCCTAAACCATCCACGGACATCCAAAATGCATTCCGATCACGCTCCTATGTCCAAATCACCTAACGGAGCTAATCAAATAATAAAAATTCCGATCCGAGATCGTATACAAGCAAGCCAAAATATTGGTCAAACCTTTCAAATTTCAAGCTTCAAACTGAGAACTGTTCTTCCAAATTCATTCTGATTACCCTGAAAACCAAATCCAACAGTTTACATAAGTCATAATATACTACACGGGGCAAGTCGTGCCCGAGAACTGGCGAGAAAAGTGCAAAAACTCAAAACGACCGGTCGGGTCGTTACAATTACAAAGCATCATCATGTTTTGGTATGAAGTTTTAGCAAATGAACTAAATAACTTCAGCATGCATTAG